TTCCAGCGCAGCTCCACTTTGGCGCCCATGCCCACAGCTGTGAGGTAGTGTGGGGCAGAGGGTGGGCCTGCAGAGGGCAGACATTGGGGTGTGGTCCAGGACCAGCTGGGCACCAGGAACCCACCGCTGTCCAGTCATAGGATACTTCCCCCTCTGGTGTGGGACTGCCCAGGGCTAGGGAGTTACCAATGTGGGCAGAGTTGGGTGACCCCCTATAGTTAACTCACTGACCAAGTGACCTGTCGGCCTCCACCCACGTCCTCCTTGGCCCCCTCCCTGGCTCTCAGAACTCACGTGTGCAGGGTGTGGCCAGCGCGTCCTGTGGAGCCCGGAAGTAGCCCTCCTCACACTGGCAGGAGGTGGCGCCCTCGAGAGAGGGCAGTGTGTGTGCTGGGCACTCTAGGCAGGGGCCCTCGGATGCCTCAGGTTTGAAGGATCCAGGTGAGCAGGCTAGTGGACACAGGGACAGAAGGGACACAGGGACATCAGGCCAAGCCATCTTTATCACTAGGGACCACTTCCCCAGTCATGGACCCCAGGGCCCCAGACAAGTCGTTAACCCCCAGGTGCTTGTTCTCACTGGGGAATGTCTGGCTGGGAGGAGAAAGTATTCGACAAACTCAGGAAGGGCCTCACCCGGAGCTCCAAACGGTCCCACTGTTCCCAGTGGCCTCAACAGCAGTGCTGTGCCATTGAGTCTGGCATTCGGGGTCACATCAGCCCCTTTAGTTCCTAAAAGCCCCAGTGCGTCCCCGGCACAGCATGCTCCCTGCCTGCCCCACCTCCTGGCCTGGCAGGGCCCCAGGCCGGTCCCATCACTTCACCCTCTCCCTCTCCCGTTGGTGTTTGTTGATTGACTCCCAGTACGCAGCCAGCACACCAGCTCAGGAGACCAGTCCACAGGTGCTCTCTCAGCTCTTCTCCCACCAAGCACCTGACCACCTTCCTGTTGCTGGGCTGGTTGTCCAGGAAACTGGAGCGGCCAGCCCTCCAGCATTTTCTCTGGGACCTGTTTCCAGGGCCGAGTCATTTCCGCTTCTCACAAGAACAGCCAGGAAACGGCTCTTCCGCCCCTGGGAGCCGGGTCTATCCTGGCCCCCGCCAGCTGGGTGCTCAGGCACCTGACTCCAGAGGTATCTTCCTCATACCACCCTGCCCTGCCCCTGCACCAAGCCCCTGCCTGGCCCCACAGGCAGGCAGCTGTCCAGACACAGGACCCCCTATGTGGGACTGTCCAGGACTAGGGAGTTACTCACTAAGTGGCCAGAGTCGGGTGACCCCACTGTAGCTAACTGGGAGAGGAAACCCAGGCATGAGGCTGTAACCCCACCCACAGCCATCGAGTCACTCCCAGCTCATAGCAGCCCCATTCAGGGACCCCAAGGCTGTGAATCTTCACGGGAGCAGGTAGACTCTTTCTCCCGTGGAGCGGCTGGTGGGCTTGAATCTTTACAGTTGGCCGCCCACTGTTCACCCGACAGCCCAGAGTGCCTCTGAGGCGGTGAGAGAAGATCAAACATTCACCAAGTCTTCTGCCCCCAGCCTCAAGCTAAAAAGACAAAGCCCGTGGACTCTGGGAGCCGGGCAGTGCCTACAGAAAATGGACGGGCAAGGGGCTAAGGAAGTGGAGTGGGACGACGACTTTAGGCAACGGCCGGGGGGAATTCAAGAGGGGGCAATTCAGCTGGGGTTTAGAAGCTAGGTAGGAGTTCGACAGAGCAGAATTACTGGGAGAGGGAGTTAAGAGTGAGGAACTGCACAGCTAATACAAAAACCGTGAGCAGCTTCGCGGGCACAACTAGGGAAGCGGCTGGCTACAAGCCCAAGGGGCTTCCAGACACCAGATCTGGAGAGGCCCTGAATGCCAGACCAAAGACCCAGGACTTTATCAAAGGGATGGCAGAGAGCCAGTGAAAGTTTGAACTGGAAAGTACTGGCACAGTCAGATGGGCATGGCCAAGCCCCTCCACACCCAGTGAGCACGGTGGGAAGGGGACTCGGTGCCAGGAACAGGACTCTGATGGACATCCAGCCCAGAAGGTCCTAGATGGTGATCGTCTATTAATGGCTCTGCTCAGAATTGGGCTACCTCCTGCCCTTTGCCACCCCCCAGACAGCCCATTCTCTTCCTCACCCTGGCCTCAGCCCACCCTACCCTCTCCTCTCCCCTCCACCCTGATCCACCAGAACCTCAGCACATCATGACAGGGCTGGGGCACCCACCACAGGAGGGGCTGAGCCAGCGCCACCCAGCAGGACACCACACCAGAGTCCAAATGATCAGCAATGACCACAGGGCCAGCGCCCACGGTGTGCAGTTTCTAGGCCAGGCCCTTCAGGCCCATCTGATCCTCACAAGGAAGGGGCCAGCCAGATGTGCAATGTGATAGCTAGCTGCTGGTTTGGGACTCAGGAGATCCCGGGCTGTAAGAGAACTGCACCTGTGTGTTCTTGACGGTGGCCTTCACAGAAGCAGATGCCAGGCCTTTCTTCCGCCTAGCTGAGCACAAACCATAGCCCCACCCCCCACCCAGAGACCCAGAGACGATCACTTCCAAGGGGGCGGGAATCTGGCGCTCAGAGAGAGAACAACCCGCCCAAGGTCTCCGGGCAACAGACATAAACCCCAGACTTAAGCCCTGGTCTTAGAGTCGACCAACTCTGAGCTGCACTCCTGTGTCCAGGAATACCTCCACTGGGAGTGAAGAAAAAAACCCTGACCCTTCAACAACCAGAGTTCCCAAGATGAATTTCAGAGCCTCTGTGTGTATGCCTTCCTCCCCACCCCACCCCCAATCCCCCCAACACAAAGAACATGCGTCCTGGGGAGAAGAGAGCAGAAACAAGCTGGGGGGACAGGGGGTAGGGCGCGGGAATGACAGACAGTACCGGCTCCTTCAAACTCTAAACACCTTTTGAGCTGCCTAATGTCTCGAAGAAACTCATGTGTCTTCTGCATTCCTCTTCAGAGCTGTTACCTCCCTCAAATCGTCAAGAAAAATGAGACTCGGCAAAGCCAAGCTATGTTTATCCTGGGAGCTCAGTTCTCCCAGGTGCCCTGACTTGTCTATCCAGGGGCCTGTCTGTACCCTGGGCGAATGCTGCCTGCAGGTAGTCCACACCTCCCAGAGTCCCAGCGCTCTGTCTGGGGCAGCTGGTGGGGCCCCTGGGACTTCTCACACCTTCCCCAACAGGCTTGGGCTCATTACACTGAGAGCTCCATTTACCCCCCACTCCCACTCCCCACGACCTGGCCTCTCCCAAGCCCCCCACCCTGTGCCAGCCAGGAGCAGGAAGTGGGGGAAGAGGCAGGTTCCATTCTTTAGCCCCAGAGCCCCGGGGGGGTGGCCCGCCTGCTGCCGGCAGGAAAGAGGGAATTTGGAGAGATTTCCGCTACGGATGTCCCAGATAATACAGTGGCGAGGCAGCATCCACCAGGCATGTGCTTGCCTGACGAGAATATGCAGCCCCTCCTCCAGTGAAAGCACGCGGCTAGTCCATGGCTGGTCCCACGGCGGGGGACTCTCTGTGGCTTCTCTGGCTTCTGAGGTCTGCCTGCTCTGCCTCCCCCTCCCCCCGCCCCCATGTTTCCTAGGGCATCTATGACTCAATCTGTGTTTACAAATCGAGACTGAGCAGTGCCTACATGCTTGGCCCAATTCTGGGTGCTAGGGAGACGGTGGTGAGACCCATCCACAGGGTTTCCGCTCCAGGGAAGCTCGCTCAGTGCTGTGCAGGGTTTCTGTCCATATAGGGCTTTCCTAGGAGACTGTGGGGGAGCAGGGGCCGAGTCCAACCCCTTGGTGTCCCAAGGGCCCCCCACAGACCGTGCTATACAGGAGGTGCCAGCTAATGTTTGTGGAAGGAATGAATGAGGGACAAACCCGCGTGTGGAAAGAGGACCCAGGGCCACAGCGCAAGCATTCTGTCGGGTCTGGGGGACGGCCACCTGCCTGGCAGGCCGCCCTGGCTTTGGCACCCCTGGGAGGTTTCCCTGGCCCGGGTGTCGCCTGGCAGGCCCAGGCCACTCCGAGTGAGGGAACTGGGACACTGTGGCTGCACCCAGGGCTGCACCCTGGTTTTTCCAGTTCCGTTGCCCGTCCCTAAGGTGGCAGCGTGGGGTGACTCAGGGACAGAGGCCCTTGGGTGTGATGCAAGTCCAGCCCCTGGCTGAGCCCCTCCTCCCAGGCCCAGCCACCTCCCGGACTGGTGGTGGCAAGGTCATGAGGTCAAGAGGTCACAGTGGCAATTTACCAGAGGCCAGTCACCTCCCCAAGCCACCCAGCCAGACTTTGTCCCACCAACAGGCCACCAGGAGCAGGGGCCTGCAAGTTACACATATCACACAATGAGGGGGGCTGCTCAGTCGGGTACTGGTGGCTCCTGGGGGAGTAGGGGCCTCGGTCACTGACTGGGCCGGCAACTGCGGCTGCAGTCCCCTGTCCCTTTCCACATACCCCGGGGAGTGATTGGCTGCACACTCTTCCAGCAGCTGAGATAAGCACTGTTCTCCAGGCTCCCGCCCTCTCCCCACCCCCCGCCTTTTATCTCCTGTTTGCTTGCCCTGCCTCCTTCCTTCCGTTCTGGGGACCCACTTACCTCCGGAGAAGGAGGGAGGGCCCCGTGCCCGCCAGCAGGGCTGCCAGCACCTGGCTTTGCCCACAGTTGGGAGTTGAGACTGGGTGGGTATCACATAGAGGTCACCCAGGGGGCTACCCTCCCACAGCCCCACCTCTGGCGGGCCAGAAGAAAAGTCTACACAAGGGAGTTGGGGGATCAGCCACAGCCCACCGAAGCTGCGTTCCTGCCAACAGCCCAGCCACGGACCAAGGACACCTTGCCCAAGGGCCACCCTAGCCAGAGCCGTTCCTACGCTAAGGGAAGACTCTCCTCAGGAGCCCACCACACATGGAGCTCAGACTGAGCTACCTCAGAATGTCAGGGTCACATCCACAAGGTCACACAGTTGGTAGGTGGAAGGACACACACCAGGGGTAACCGAGGACAACGTACTGCCTTCCTGGTGCCAGACCCCAGCTTTTTTGGTCACTGGTCACCATTTCTGCACTCTGAGCTTCAGTGTCCCCATCTGTAAAGTGGGGATTAAAAAGGCTTTGGTGTCTCTGCACTATCTGTGAAGCCCAAGAGAAAGAAGCCTTGTGCATGAAATGTCTCGCCTGGGAGAGGGTGTCCCTATGACCCGGGACACCCCCCAGAGGGGACATCCAGGGCGCTGGGCCTAGGGAAGAAGCAGGATTCTACGAGGAGGAAATTCCTGAGCCCACAGTCCCTCCTGCAGCTCTGGCCTCCCAGCTGCTGGTTGAGCTTCTGGCCGGACCGCTGGCCACCTGCTCACCTGGCTGGCAGTTCCCGTGGGCTGAGGCGCCAACCAGGGCCCCACCAGCTCCGCTGCTGATGCCAGCACAGGAAGCGGAGACAGGGAGACAAAGCCGCCCCGGGGAGCCGGTCAGCCTGTGCAACTCCACTGTCCCCCAGGCGGGCGGAGGGGGAGGCACTGGAGGGAAGGCGGCTCATTCCTGACATAGCTCTCCAAGAGCTCCTGGGCAGCCTGCCCACCTGTCCACACACGGCACCTGGGAGGTGCTTCCCTTCCCTTCCGCTGCCCACTTAACTCTTTCCTGAGCTCTGGTTTCCTGGGGAAGAAAATCCCAGAGGGGAAATGGGCTTTGGGAATAGCCCCGACAAGGTGCTGGGTGACCTTTCTGGATTCCGTTTTGTCCTTAACATGAAGCCTGGAGGGAGAAGCTGGGTCTGTGGCCCCAGGGAGGGCCAGCCCTAACCCTCCTCAACCACAGCCTCCTGGATACACTCAGCAATGGTCTCCCAATGCCCCGTGCCAGGACCTGCCGTCCCGGGGCTGCCCAGAGGCCAACCCAGGGCCAGGCATCCTGGGGCCAGTCGCTGAGTCAGGGATTCCAAAGGAACTGGTCACTTCCCGCCTCACTTCCCAACCCCTCCTCCTGCCCAGGCACCGCTGCACAACCTGAATTCAACCTGAATTCAAATTCTGATTCAGCCACATCTTCGATTGGTGACTCCAGCCAGCCCTTCATCTCTCTGAGCCGCGGTTCCCTCACCTGGGATTCTCAAAAGACCTTGGCTCCTAGACAAGAGGCCAGTGCTCCCCACGAGCTCCCAGGAAACCGCTCAGGTCTATGCTGGGGACTGCTATTGCCTCCATCTGGATCCTGGTGGGGGGGCTTCTGAGAAAAGCCTAGAAGCAAAGTATGGCCCCAAATCTCACTCACAGAGGCTCCCCCAAGCCACACAGATGAGACCCTGGGGAGGGGCAGGGGTCCCAAAGAGGAGCATCAGGGCAGCAGGTGGCTGGTGGTCAGGCAGGTAGATTCCATGAGCGAAGTTAAAGTGCTCATTCACTCTAGGGAGCCAGTCCTCCCACTGCGCCAGGCCTGCTCAGCTCTCTACAAACAAAGCCTGCCAGATCCCTGATCCGCCACCTCCAGAGGAGGAAGGCTGTCCCCCACCCTTTCTGGGACCCCCCCCCCCCCAACCGTCCACTTATCTCAGCAGGCCCTGAATCACCGGCCTGTGGAAAGTTTTCAGCTGCCCCTCACCCCCACCCCCGCATTCTTTTGCGAGGATGTCATGTGGGAGGGGCCTGCTCACCCCACTGGGCTGCCTCAAGCCCACCCCCACCCCACCCTGCTGTCATTGTCTGAGACTGGGGAGTGTGCTTTTGAGGCAGGGCCGGTTATGGGGAGGGAGGCTGGCTCAGAAGGGGACAGGGGGTGTCAGGAAGGACTGGGAGCAGACAGTGTCTCCACAGGGTTATGGCCAGAGAGGCTCTCTTTCAGGGGACTTCTATGTAAAGCAGGGCTCTGAGGGTTTGTGCTCAGAGGCAAGAGGGCCCATGAGAAAGGGCTCCGGGCTCCTCCCACTATCAGTCCCCTCAGGTCCAGGGCTGAAAACAAACGTAAAGCTGGCTGGCGTGTGGAACTTTCTCATTTTACTGTCCAGAGACCAGAGGTCAGAGACGGTTTGCCCAAGGTCACCCAGCCCGGGTGTGCAAATGTAGGGAACAGATTCCTCATTTCTCAATCGCCTGCTTATCTTGGCAAAGAAGCTCCCAGAGAGAGGGGATGGGCTAGCCTTCCAAAGGTTGGCATGCACACCACAAATGCCCTGTCCACACCAGTTCCAGCAAAAGCCACCCATTGAAAATGGCCTGTTGTTGTAATGATTTCCGCTGTCACCGGCCCGGGTCAATGTGGCCCGAGGACAGACAATGTGGGTGCACCCAGAACCAGAGCCGGGCTTAACTGGCCTGATAGAGGCTTTTGTTTTTCTTTCCCCTCCCCCCAAAACCTCCCCAGGTGACACTAAGGTGCAGTCAGACTGCAAATCCCAGGTCTAAATGAATCACCTCCATGCACAAAAGGGGAGCCAGAAGCCATGAAGGTTAAGTGGCTTGCCTGAGCTCACTGAGTGTTGTCCCTGGAGACGGACCTCAGTCCTGCGATGATATCACATGCCCACTATGCTGGCTGATGGCAGGTCCTCAAGACAGATCGGTGGGAGGAATCAAAAGTGATAGCCTCATTTTTAAAGCATCTATGTGTCAGTACTAATCTACGTACTTTACAAGTATCAAGTCATCGGTTTATCCAAACAAACCCGAGCGAGAGACACTCTGGCTCGTCATCTCCTTTTACAGATGAGGAAACCCAGGCTCAGCGACACGAGCAAAGGAAGCCAGCTAAGTGGAGAGCAGGTATTTGAACCCAGGCCTTGTTCTCCGAAGGAGTTCCTGGGTGGCACAAACGGTTAAGCACTTGACTACTAGCTCAAAGGTTGGTGGTTCAAACCCATCCCAGGGGCACATGGGAGGGCAAGTCTGGTGGCCTGCTTCCGAAAGGTCACAGCCCAAACCCTAGGGAGCAGCACCATCAGGCCCAAGAGGGTCAGAATCTGCTGAGAAGCAACAACGGCATTCTTGTCCCAATGTCCATGCTCCTAACCGCCACTATCAGCTCACTGGCGCTCAGGGACTTCACCCAGGTGGAAATGAGGGCGCTATGATCCTGGAAGGCCCCATGGCTTGCACCCAGCACCACTGCATGCCAGAGACTATGGTCCTCAGGCTCCACACCAGCGCTGGGGGCAGACCTGGGAAGGCACCCTCTCATCCAGAGGCCCTGGCCCCTCCCTTCCCTGTCACCCAGTACCACCACTCACCCTGGCAGGCATCCTCCACCTTCTCGTAGCCGGCCTCGCAAAGGCACTGCCCGATGGGCACCAGCCATTCACCATCCACCGTACAGTGCATGCGGGGCTCCTCGCTGCCAGGGGGCACCACGGCGTGGCTTACACAGGCCCCGGCCACAGTAGCCAGAGAGGGCGAGTCAGAGCCAGCGATGGTCTCAGGGAAGTGGGCCAGGCCCTGCAGCAACTCAGGGCACTTCTTGTAGTAGACGCGGACGGAGAGCAGTGCCACACAGGCCCCGATGTCCTGGAAGGCCAGATAGAAGCCCTTGCGGCTGAGCGGCCCCACGGTGCGCACCTCCATGTTCAGCTTGACGTGGCGAGCCTCGAAGTCGCTGCTGACAGTGATCTCGTCCGGGGCGATGGTGTCGATCTTGTTGAACTGGCGCTTCTGGAAGTTGGTGCCGTAGTCCACGTCAGACTCGGCGTAGTAGAGGTTAAAGGTCTCCTTGCAGGAGCTGGCGCCACCAGGGAAGCTGTTGCAGTCTCGGACGGTGAACTTGAGCTCGATGAAGATGCGCTCGGCCTCGCCGCGGTACACCCAGTTGGTGCGGAGCCAGTTGTCCTGGTCACCGGCCACCACATTGCACACCGAGTACATGTAAATGGGCACGTCATCCATGATGTTCTGCATCAGGTCCCACTGCACAAGGGACAATGGGTCAGGGTGGGCAGGCATGCAGGGAAACTGAGGCACAGGGGCAGAGCTGGATGCTAGGAACATGCTGACTATTCCCATTTTACTGGAAAGGAAACTGAGGCCCAGAGAGGTGCTTCAAGTCACCCAAGCACAGCCAGCTGTAACCGAGCCAGGATTTGCCTCCAATCTCGGGGTACTGAACCTCTGCACTAGGACGTGAGCCCGGTCGGAGTCTGAGCGGTGCCTGCTGCCCTGGGACCTTGGGCAGATCACTGGCGCTTTCTGAGCCTCCATGTCCCCATCTGGACAATGATGTCCTACTTCAGAGAATTGCTACAAGGACGAACGACATATGAGCTACAAACTGCTGAGCATGATGCCTGGCACAAGGTAACAGACAGATAGGGCAGCTTCTAAATTATTATTGTCATCATCATCAGTCGCTCTGTGTGGCGACTGTATGTGCACAGGTGTGCATCCGTAGCAGAGAGAGAAGTTGAGGCACCATCATAGAGGATCCTCCACCACTTCCATTTTGGGGCTTTGGAACAAAGCCTTACAGTGCTGAGCTCAGAACCCAACTCAGGCTCCTCCTCCAGGAAGCCATCCTGGGTTGGGCTAAGGCTGGACCCCATGAGGCTTTCTGGCTCCCATAGTCTCCTCTCTCCCCTTCACAGCACTTGGCACCTGCCTGATGATGCCTAGTCTGGCTCCTACACTAGGCTCTGAACTCCTTGGGGCAAGATTGCAGCTAGCTCATGTCTCTCGCTACCTGACATAGAGCAGGTGCCCAGAAAAGCGTTTGTTGAATGAAGGAGAGAATGAATGAATGAGACCAGGGGGGCTGATAAATGAGGCCTGAGGTGTGCTGTGTATGAATGGCTAGAGTAGGTGGTCTGTGTTTTCCTCCTAGCTGGATGTTCCAGGACCCTGGACCCTTGTGCTCAGAGTTGCGGGCCTCCTCTAGCCCACAGCCTGGTCCCTTGGACTTGAGAGGGCCAGGGGACAGGCATAGCACTCAGAAGGACCTGGCCAGCAGTGGGAAGTGTTTCAAGTAGCTATCCTTCTCCTTGAGCTCGGGTCTCAAAACAAACTCAGCAAGGACCCATTGTACAGATGAAGATACTGAGGCCCAGCGAAGAACAGCAGCTCTCCAAGGCTGCACATGGGTCCTATGGAATCAGGAAAGGACCTCAACCTCTGGCCTGCCAGGCCTGGCCTCCAGCTGTCCTCACCACCAACAGGAGGCAGGAGAGGCTCGAGGAAGCTTGGGTGGGAACCAGGCAAAACAACTCAGCCCCAAGCAGGAAGGGGAAGTAACAGCTGAGGGCAGTGTGCAGGGAGAGGGCCCAGCAGGAAGGAACCTGATCCGGTGCCCCGGGTTGGGGGAGCTAAGAGCCTCTGTTCTCTGTCTGTCCATCACCCTTCACCTCCTGGACCGGGACCTCCAAGGCTTGGGGAGCCTTTAACCCCTTCTCTCCCAAGAAGGGGAGGGCGGGAGCCAGGAAAGAGTCCCTCAGCCCTCAGCACTGAGAGGGTACAGCCTGGAGCTATCTCCCCAGCTCCTTCCGCTCCCCTCCCCCTAGCTCTCTCCCTTATTTCCGAAACCCCACCAAGGGCTGACTCAGAAGGCTGGTGCAGGACGAAGGACCCCCAGCTGGATCTCTGGTTGAGCTTTTTGATTAAAGCCAGGCCCCGTCCTCTCACTGTCCCTCACGTTCCCTATCTATACAGGGGCCAGGGGCCCCCTTCCCACCCTCACCCACCCTGAAGGCTTACCCCTTTGCCATATGGCTGTGTGAGCCAGCCGAGCTCTCCTTTGGCTTCAGCGAAGTCCAACAGTACAACTGGAAAAGAGATGGGAGAGAAAACTGGGTGGTGAGCTTGGGAGTTAAGACCATGTGGAAAAGGAAAAAAATCCCCCCCACACCCCACCCTGCCGCCACAGGACTCCCATGAGGCTCTGCTGGCTCCCTCAGTCCTCAGAAAGAGACCCCATGACATACTAGGGTCACTACATACAAGCAAGAACCCCACCCCTTGCCAAACTGGGAAGCAGAGGCCCAGAGAAGGAACAAGATGAGTTGAAGCCAGACAGCAGGCTGCAGCGTGAACCGGGCCCACCATCTCCAGCTCGGAGCACTAGCCCTGCTGGGCCCCTCTGCCAGTCCCCAGCTGAGCAGAGCAGAGTCGGAATGGAGCTCAGCCCAGCGGGGGGCCAGCAGCTGGGCAGAGAGCTGGGGTAAGCATGGGTATTAAGTGACACCTGGCCGGCCCTGTCTGCTTCCTTGATCAAGGCCCTTGGTGGCACTCTACACATGGGTGCTCGGGGGCTGGGAGAGCGGCCGGCTCGCTCCCACTGTGCCCTTCTCCCCAACCTGAAACAGTCAAGCCCACTCAGGCCTGGAGCACACAAACGCACATGTATGCACACGCATGGCCACAGCACTTCAAGAAGAGAGAGCTGCGAACAGGTGGGAACAGCTCCGGGGCCAGGAGGGGGCATGGGTGTGGGGGGAGTGGGTCTGGAACCCGATCTGCTCTACTCAAAAGCCGTAGAGCAGGCAGGATAAAGCACTGAACCGTAGGGCCCCAAGGAAGGGCCCAAAGATACACACAGCTGGGGAGGTGCCCTCCCTGGGAAAGTGACTGGCTAAACTTCTGCCCCTTCACATCCTAAACCTTCTTTACCCTTCCAGGGATGCGG